GTTGCAATTTTTCCTATAAAAGGCGTGTTGATTTCCTGTTTTTGATACACAAAAAAATACAGAAAGCAATCTTCTTCTCCTCTCTATTTTTCCTCACAAAAACAAAACCCTCGAGCAGTTTCTTTTCTTTTTGGGTGTTTAGTTGCCCGGTGGTTTTGTGCAGTTCCACCGGTATAATTTCAATAGAGAAAGGCTGTTTTATCCTGGGGAACATCCGGTTTAGTACGAACTGCTTGCACCTTTTCAGGGCAGTGCCGTGAATGTTCTAAAGAAAGCGACATAGTCCGCGACTCAGTCTATTTTTCGGTAACTTTGTTCTTACTGTTTTTGTTCCCGCAGTTCCGTTTATAACATTAACTACACCCTATTCTCATATATGTTGATTGTCCTAATGCTATTGATATGTTACATGCTCATGATGGTTTTCTTAATTTGTATCGTCATGTAGGAAGCTCTGGCTGACGGAGATGGATGTGCAAATTAAATTTGTTGGAAGACAGTGGAACAAGTGATTGCGAGAAGCTCAAGATGTTTAGATTCTGAAATGAATGTAGCTAAGACACTTCTCGTTTCTCCTGGTTGTTGCATGGATATACTACGTTTTTTTTTTTTTTTTGAATAAAACTGAATAAAACAATTTTTTTTTTAATAAAAAGTCATAGTCATCTACAATTAATATCTAAATTTAACAAATACTAGTACATAAAAAAGAATCCAACAAAGGATTTGTAATGTTGGTTTATGCTAATCAATAACTTTTTCTTTTTTTTTTTTTTTGAGGAAAAATAAAAAGGTTATTTAAAAAATTATGATAAAAGAATTTAAGAAAAAAACTATTCCCTCCGTCCCAATATATAGTTCTTGTTTGTGTTTTTTCACTGTATTTAAAAAATGGAAGGAGAAAGTGGATGAAGTACATGAAAAAAAGTAGAAAGTACAATTGCAGACAAAAGTTAAAGAGGGGAAAGTGAATGAAGTACATTAAAAAAAAAGGTGAAAAGTATAATTATAGACAAAAATTAGAGAGAGAAAGTGGAAAAAGTATAAAACAAGTTGAAATTTAATGAGTAATTTAGAAAGTACAATAAATAAAGTTAAAAAAATAAAGGTATAATGGTTTTTACATTATATCCAAATATAGAAATGTAAACAAAATTTTGATTTCCTAAAATAAAAAAACAGGAATTATAATATAAAACGGAGGGAATAGTTAACCAAATAGTCGTGGAATCTAAAACATCAAAATACTCAAAGTGTTTGAGAAGGCGTAGTACGTAATTAAATGTTAATTAATATCTCCGATATCAATCTTTGATTGACCTTCAACTTACTTTACCTGGTTACCAAACTGGTAAACTTCCAATCATCACTTGTTCTCCTTTGTCAACAATCAATTGCTTTGCCCTCTTTACCTCTTTCTCTCTCTTCCCTCTCTTCCCTCTTCTAAACCAATCAAAATTGTTCTGCAATCGAAGAACAGGAGAATTACAGTTCAATTTTCGGTTTTAAGGGTTCCATATCAATCGGATTTCAAATTTCGAATTTCTAGGTACAAATGAATTGCGAAGTTTGCCAACTCAAAGAATTGGTGAGCATCCTTAATTTTACTCTTTGTTTTCTTTTTTTTTTCCCTTCAATTATCAATTGTATTTGAATTTTTTTTTTTTTTTTATTTTATATTTTTTAATTTTGTTGCAGGAAGTAGAGCATTTTGAAATTAGAGAAGTTTTGCGATGTAAGTTAACCCCTTTTTTCTCTGTAATTGGCATTTGTAATGATATTTATGGTTTGCAGATGATTATATTAACCTGTAATTGCTATCAATTTACAATTTGTCCATTAATTTTGGATTAGATATGTTTTGATTGTCTATGGTTGTTAATTTGATAGTTTTTTTCTTCTGAATTGTAGTTAAAATTTAGTATATTCCGTTCCTTGTTTGTTGGATTATTCTTGTTGGAATTTGATTTGCCCTAGTTATCTCAAAGTCCTAAAATCTGAACTTGACTGCTCTTGTAATTCCAACACTTCTATTGACTTTGTTTTCGAGCACCTTGGAAAAAATTAAAGAAATTGGCAATGGATTTTCGAATGATTGACTAAGGTTACGCATTACGATGTTAATTGTCACTTTTAAACTGCATTGTACACCTTGGCACAACTAGTCTGAGTATCTTGAATTTTAGTTGGTATATTGCTATATTGACAGTCAGTTTACTTGAAGATGATAAGATATGTGAATTTTATTTGGTCATCTTTTTTTTCAATGAACTTTTATACTATTGCAATGGTAATTGGTTCAAGTTGTTCGTTTTTCTATGGTGATTGTAATTCAAATTTTATCGTGAAAACTTGGAATGTGTTTTACCATCTTGTGAGCCGATTTCTTTTTTATACCAACTTATGAGCTAATCATTCATCGAAATTATATGCAGGTATACTACATACAGTTATGTTTCACAGGGCGCTGGGCCTTGTGCGGCCAAAAGATGTTGATTTGGAACTTTTTGACATTACATACGTGAGTTGTCTCTTCGAGTATTAAGTAATTGTAGATGATAATTACAAATTAAGATGTGTTTAGCTGTAGATTCCATATCTTCTGTGGCAGTCACTCTTTCAATACTGCTATACTGTTGTATTTAGATTGATTGTTCCTTTGTAAAACCATTGTTGCAAACTCATCCATTGAAATCTTTCTGGACACATGAATACAACATGTTTACTGTAAAGTTCTCTAATGTTACCTAAGCAGTTGAATCACATAATAATATTTTTGTAGGTCCAATGTGGAGACGTGGAACTGGAAAAGAAGATAGATGAGAAGATTGATCAGTTCATATCTTGGGTAGAGAAGCACCCTAATAAAAAAAGTCAGGTGAGGTTTAGCGCTGACTTCTCATACATGTATCTTTAGCTTTCACTTGATATTTGTCTACATTTTTTAGTATATGAATCTTGTGTGCTATGATTGTACAATGAAGGCATCTTACTTTGGTCTTCTTGTTGTATAAATATAATATCTGGGTCACTTCTATACTACCCGCCCTCCTCGTATGTTAAGCCATTCCTTTTTATGGATTTTTTTTTTTTTCCACATTTGGCTATTTTATTTTATCCTCCTGGTCAAATGTTGGACTCAAATTTTAGGACTGAATTGACTTTGTATCTAAAGTGTATTGATTTGGTGGTAGTTGAAGTAAATAGTAGAGTTCCCTGAAAAGAAATCATTGTTTATATTCTACTGCCTTTGTCTGGAAAGTTATCACATTACTAGTTTAAATCACAAAATTCATACAGACAACTGTTCCATGGGTGGGTTTGGGGGTGGTGGTGGGGGGGTGGAGGGAGGAGCTCATCTTAGTGAGCATGCCATTACTCCTCAGTATTTGTGGCTTTATCAATGTTGTTGATATAGTATGTCATAGACTCATAGGTAATCTTACCTCCTTGGTATATGTGGCTTTGTCTATGCTGTTGATATGGTGTGTCTTAGGTGTCCTTTCCATACTACATAAATCCCAAGGTCTTAGCTTTTTTGGTTTAAATGGTGCTGTACAGATATGTTTGTCTTTCTACGAAGTAAAGAGCAATAAGGCGATATGGTTCTCAAACAAAGTTGAACGTCTTTATTGGGAACAATGGTACATCAATCTGAATGTTGCTCAACATCACAAACCAACCTCTAGCAAATCTCATCACTCCAAAGTTATAGACTCTGGTTAGTTTGTTAGCATGCTTGTATGATTGTGTTTGCTCCTAGAGATATCCCCTGTTTTTAATCTGTTATGAATGATTTTAGAGGGTGCATCCGAGGAGAGAAGTGCTCGTAGGGCTGCAATTGAAGTGTCACTTCGGGAGGTTCTCTTTCAAATAATAAAATTTATAAATGAGAAAAAGGATCATATTCCTCCCATTCCAAGTCGTGAAGGAATCTCATTTCCCTATGAGATTGCTATCCCAAGGTGTGTCATCTATACCCTTTCCGGTCACTCTCATGTTTTCATGTTCAATCTCTCAATGAGAATCCACTTGGTGTTTTCTGCTCTTGAGGATTTGTTTAAACACTAGTTGTTTTTCTATTCCTTGCTTTTTATGTTCTTATTTTGTTGTTTTTGTTCCTGCATTAACTTTATATTGTGAAGTATTACGTCGTAAATATGGTTTGAAGCTGATTACGGGTTTTCTCCAGAAGAGCTTAAATGTGTTCATACTTTTTTTTTCCCTACCAAAATTGTCTTCGGAATGCTAGTGAGAAATGCAATTGATTGGATGAGCTGTATTCTTGTATACAATTAAACATGAATTCAAGTCTAACACTTTGACGCATATCCCATGTTTGACACAACCACCCAAGTCTAAAAACATAGTTCTTAACTGTATGCGTAGAGCAGTACAGTAAATGTTATCATCTCTTTATTCAGCTCTTTCCGATTCTTGTTATTCATGTTCACAGGTTACCAAATATCATGACTAATAGACTGTACTAATGTAATTCTATTTCATTCAGCTCATCAGATACTACGTTTGGGATGGATATGATCAAAAGGATGCTTCAAACAGGCCATCCAACCATGCTTAGCTGACAGTTCAATGGTAAATCAGTTCATCAGAAAGATTTTAATCTGGTCAATCTGGAACAGGATCGTAAAAGGTGAAAAGGTGACCGGGATTCATGTCTTAAGTGCTCTACATCTGTAAATAGGGCCTTCTTGTTTTCCCCTCTTCATATCTCATATGAGTAATTTCCTACTCTTCTCTGTACTATAATCATGCCTGCGAAGGATAAAGTTTCGACGACTTGCTTGTTCATATCTAATCTTTATGCATATAATGTCTTGTCCCTACTCTTATTATTATTTACAAATTTTATTTTTCTTATAAACCTGTATCAAAATCTTCCTTTCTTTTTTTCTTCACCTCATGAGAAGTTTGTCATTGCTCAAATCATGGCAATGTACTGTAATAATTTGATTTTGATAAGACAATTTAGGACTTCAGGGTAGGATAGTTTCATATTAACATAAGTGTTGTTTGGTTGACATGGGAAATAAGTTCTCATAGGAAATTATAATTCATGTAAAGTAATTTCACTTACCTATCTCCTAGGAATTGACTTTAGTTTGTTTGATTGATAATATAGGAACTTAAATTTCCTAGGAACTGATTTCCCATGTTTTATTAGTTAGCTTGATTATTTTTTATTTAATTTACTCGTAATAAATTTGGAGAGAGAAAGAAAGAGATTAAATTATTAGTGTGAATAATGCAAGTGGGCTCCTAATCATGGTAAATGTGACTTATCAAGGTGGGGGCTTGATAATTGTAAGTGATTTCTCATGTTTTATGGGAATTGAAACTTTTCTTGGAATATTCATTTCCCCTAATTTGATGATTTTGAGTCATCAAACAACAAATTCCCCTAATTTTCCGGTTTTAGGTAATCCTAGAATCGATTTTCATTACTTGTTTTTGTGCGTCTCTAAACACCAAATAGGCAAATATTCATTTCCTAGAAAATAGAATTTCCCATGTCTTTTACCTCCAACCAAACAACACCTATGATTATGTTAAATTACATTGAATGCACCAAATTTCCTTCATTTTGATCTCACCGGAAGTTATTATGAAGTGGTTACATTCCTAAGTTTGCTTATATAGTGATAAATTGACAACTGATAATGGCCAGCCAAACAAAGAAGGGTTGGTCAACATACGCTCCCTTTCACATCATTGCTTTGTCTTTTTTCTGTAGAGTCGTTGACTAATTAATGCTGTTATTCTCCGCGTTTATTTCTTCAGCTTTCTATTCAAATAATAACCATCCTCATCATCTGAGAAAGTACTATAAATTGGTATTGCCCATTTCAAAAACTGCAAAAACCAAGAAATTACCTATTTAATTAATCCATACTCAGCCATATATATTCTTATAAACCAAAATCAATCAAGCTAATCAAGAAGGGAATAAAGAAAAATGCAGCACTTTGTACTAGTGCATGGGACCTGCCATGGAGCCTGGTGCTGGCACAAGCTAATCCCTCTATTAAGGCGAGCGGGCCGCCAGGTTACAGCCGTTGACCTTGGTGGGTGTGGTGTCTATGCTCGGCCGTTGAGTGAGATTGTAACCATTGATGACTACGTGGAGCCTTTGATGGATGTCATGAGGTCCATTAATCCACATGACGATGGTGGTGATGAGAAGGTTGTTCTTGTGGGACATAGCTTTGGTGGAATTGCAATCTCTATGGCTATGGAGAAATTTCCAGAGAAGATCCTTGTTAGTGTTTTTCTGTCTGCTTATATGCCTAATTGCTCCTCTCCTCCCCTTACTCTCGTTCAAGAGGTACGCCGTCATTATTATTCACTATATATCTGAATATGGTGCTCACTTGCAGGTGTATGGCAACTATACTACAGTATAGTTGCCACACACCAGCTCAAGAAGTATATAAATTGTTTTACACTGCTCGTCGTGCCTAAAGTTCAAGTTATTAAAGGAATCTTTCTCTTGATTTGAAGTCATACAACGATACAAATATACGATCCTAATGAGCTCGTACTAATCTGTTTTATCATACAACAGACATTCAAGAGAACACCTTTGGAGGGGCTTTTGGACACAAAATTCAGGTTTGATAATGGTCCAGAAAAAGCAGCCACTCATGCAATGTTTGGTCCTAAGATGTTGAGCACTAAACTCTACCAAAATTGCCAGCCTGAGGTAATTAATCCCACAAATTTCAAGTGATAGCCAAGTGTCATACATATACTATCATACTTCGTATGTGTTTTCTATTTTTTCGAAGTCTCAAACTATGGTACCCAAGATTTTAATCCTCACTTATCTCCAAGGCAGTTAGGGCTGTACATTATAGGATATCCAATCCAAAAAAACGAATATCCATGACCTCATCGTGTCTAAAGTATGTATAATGTTTATGACTAACTGTAAGGTTAAAATGAATGCAGGATATAGAATTGGCCAAAAAAATGGTTAAGCTAGATGGTTTATTCAGTGAGGACTTAGCAAAGGATTCATTATTTTCGGAAAAAAGATTTGGAAGAGTGAAACGAGTATTTGTTATTTCTGAAGAAGATGAATCAGTGAAGACAGATTTTCAAAAGTGGATAATTGAAAATAGTCCACCACATCAAGTGAAATCCATACCAAAAGCTGATCATATGGTAATGTTGTCAAAACCTCAAAAACTATGCCGTTGTTTGCTGGAGATCACTGATATATATCGAGCAACTTCACCAACATTTTAAGTAGATTGTTTGAGTATATCCCAGCCTGCACCATAGGGTTTTCCAGCAATTGTATTTTTACATCTATGTGATTAAATTATTTATAAATAATTGTAATTGTGGGTTGATCTCTAAAAAAATAAATGGCATTTTTAAGCTATTTTGATGCACAATCTTGGAGTCTAAGTCTTAATTAAAGAACATATTTTGATTAATACCAAAACAAAATATAATACGTAGTATATATTCAATGCAAATATGATGGTGGAGGAGGCGTCTGAGGCGTATGCACAGTGATCCCTGTCTGTTATACATCAATCCTAAAACCAAAAAAATATGAAAACTAACTCTGATCCAATGAACATAAGAGTTATAACTACGATGATGCAATGTTCATTGCATATTATGTTCATTGGAGTATATGTTCTGTTCTTTTAGTCTTCATGTTCTTTGGATTTAACCTTGTATGCATGATGTTCATCGGATGCACAATGTTACATCTTGATTAATAACATCAAGTACAACTGTAAAGCAGCGATTATCAAACTGTACGCTGCGGGTGTGTAACATGCTCATACTGTCGTGAAAAGTCTATTGGTGTACCTTGGATTCTAGGAAAAATTGAGTGTACTCCGTATGATATCTAAACAACCAGCTGCGATATACTTTAGACCATACTGCCGACAAAGGTCTTTGGTTGTATGATAAGCTTAATAGACGTTGTTGTTGTTTAAGATGTTTTCACACACTAAGATCGCATTTGTGGACTAGCTGTAGACTTGTGGTTGATTACCAAAGATAATCAGGGGGCATGTATTCAAATAATTGAAATAAATCCAGTGTTCAGCATTTCCTTTCATTTTTCATCAATGTAATCAATTCTAAATTTCAAATTACTATGTCTAAGTCTTTAATGCCCGATTTAAAAAAAAATATGCATACAAAATATAGTAAAATATAAACATAAACTATTTGTTGATTTAAGCTAATGAAATTAAAAATTCTTCAATGGTCATTCTGGTCATCCTTAACATGACCACCACTATTCTTAAATCTGATTGGCTATTTTAGGTTTGACCAAGCATTTAAAAGAAAAGAAAAAAAAATCAACCAATAGGATTTAAGAATAGTGCTAGTCATTTTAAGGATGACCATGGTAGAATAAATGACTCCGTTGGTCATTTGCATATACAATTTGTCAATTTGTCAAGATTGTTTGATTAAGATGTGTATGAAAGAATGCACCAGCGACTTGAAAGAAACGTTATGTTATGTGGATTGTGCGGCTTGATTTTGAAGGCCAAAATTGGTGGAACCTTGTGTTTCCTTATACAGTAATATTTTACGTGGACACATTAAAATCAGAAATCGAAATATGTAATCAATCAATCCATCAAACGTTGAACTTAGTATCAAAGAATTAGAGGAAACAGATTACAGAAAATATTTATTTCGTGTTATTATTAATGGAGGCTAAAAATGAGGAGAAACACTTTGTTTTAGTTCATGGGTGTTGTCAGGGAGCATGGTGCTGGTACAAGCTCATTCCCCTGCTTGAAAATGCAGGGCACAGGGTGACTGCACTAGATATGGCAGGTTCTGGTGCCAACACGAAACGAATTGAAGACGTTCACATCTTTGAAGAGTACAACAAGCCTTTGTTTTTATGGCATCGTTGTCTGTCGATGAGAAGGTCATTCTTGTTGGGCATAGCCTTGGAGGAATGAATATTGCCTTTGCTATGGAAAGTTTTCCTCAAAAGACATCAGCTGCTGTTTTTTTAGCTGCTGTTATACCAGACACTATACACCAACCATCTTATGTTTTAAATAAGGTAATTAGTTGATTAAGTATTGTTGTACTTATTAATTGAGTAGATGATATTGAACTTTGGATTGAAATTGTTGATTGATTGCTTTAAGTTTGCTGAATCGATCCCTGAAGAAGCCAAGTATGACACAAAGTTTTGGACATATGGTTCACCAGAAGAGCCCTTGACAGCAACTCTGTTTGGACCCCAATTTGTGCAGTTTCTCGCTTCCTTATCTCCTACCGAGGTATGAACATTTTTTTACCTCTGTTCGGATTTAGTAGTCACATGTGTACTTGGTAATACTCAATGTATGTTCGTATTTTTTTATAGTCAATATAAGAAAAAAGTACAAAAATCTAATTTATGTGATCACATCATACTATCATAGTATCCTACTAGGTGATATACAATGTAAAAATATGATTTCTAATACATTTCTTTAATTTAGCAATCAAGCTGGTTGAACTATACAAATAGATTGAAAAATTAATTATATGGCTTTAGCTTACGGACAATTATGACCGAATAATTTTTTTATTACTCCGTATTTTTTTTTTTTTTGGGAAAAGTCTTCTCTCTCAAGACTATGTTTTGAAGAATTTGTTGTGCAGATGTTTAGTGATGGTGTTTGGTAGAGCACAACTGGTAGTTGAAACAGTACTTGAAGACTTGAAGTAGTTATAAGAATAAAAAGTGTTTAAAAATTAAGTAGCATTTCCAAACCCCAAGAACTAGTTTCGAGATGAATAAAACCAAAAGGATTCAAAGTTTGCATGGACTTTTTAACGATCTCTTGTTAATATTATCTATAATTACGTATTACTCGTGGTACCAATATTCCTTTTATAACATAGTGTTACACACTTACACTGCTATGTAAAACTCATAGTCATATAGATAAGCAATTCCAAGTTTTATAATTATGGATTTATGAGCTAGCAATGACAATGTTTGCATGGACTCTTTTATAATATCATGTTGATAATATTTACTTCTTCCGTTCAAATAATATTGGAACAAGGATGAAATTACGCATCTCAAAGCATATTTTATATGTTAAATATATATAATTGTATAATAGTAAAAATTATAAAAAGTTGATATTGTGAAAGTATTTTATGAGACGAATGTAACAAGATTCCATGACTATATTTTGCTTAACATATAAATCATATTATATGATCAAATAAAAGTGATGAATAGTGCAAAAGTCTAATTGTTGCAATATTATTGAAACGGAGGAAGTATAATTTACCTATTACTCCCTCCGTCCCTTATTTACATGCCTATTTCTCTTTAGGCATGTAAATAAGGAACGGAGGGAATACTTGTAGACTTGTATAACGCTCTTCCTTTTATAACATAATGTTCAACCGAATATTTCTATGATCACCTTTCTATAATTAATATCTATAATTGCGTATTCTTAAGTTTATATAATTGCAGGATTATGAGCTAGCAGTGTCAAGGCAAAAACCATCGTCATTATTTCTTCCAGATCTAACAAAAGCGAAGAAATTCTCGAACAATGGATTTGAAAGTGTAAGGCGAATATATGTGATAAGCAAGGAAGATAAAGTATTAGCAGAGGAATTTGCAAGATGGATGATTGAGAACAGTGGGGTGCAAGAAATCCGGGAGGTTCAAGGTGCAGATCATGTGACTATGCTTAGTAAACGACATCTACTATGTGACTGCCTTCTTGATATCGCCCGTGTTTATTAAAGAAAACCTACTCCCTTGATCCCTTTTATGGTTTTATCTGATCTGAAATTAATACTCCGTACAATAATTCACTTTAAGATGTCCGGAAAATTATGATATATTCTTGAGATTAGCTTTGACGTATGATTTATTTTATCATTATAAATTCGAACTTTTTATTACAAAAGATTTATTTGACTTTTACCTTTAAAAACAAAAAACTCTGATTATGTATGTAATGAAATGATTTTTATTTATTTATTTTTTACTTATTCAAAAAAAAAAAAAAATTACCACCTTTTAAAAACTTTTTTATTTATATATTGCCGCAAATTAACACATTTAGTCCATTAATCCAATAATTAAATTGTTAGCAAAAACAAAAACTATTTTATTTAGGTGGTAATTTACTAAATTGTGTCAAAATTGAACCAATAACCTTTTTTTTTTTTTACCACCTTAACGAATTTTGTTACACTTATAACCACTTAACAACCTTCGTCCATGTATCTGTTAAGTGGTGGCAAAATCGAAATCAAAAATATTTTAAGGTGGTAAAATTCATCAAAAAAAAAATCATGGTATTGAAATTCAAAACTCGATATGTTAAAGGTGGTAAAACTCAAAAAATCCTCATATAGCATATGCTTAATTATGAAGTTTTAATTTTATGAGCAATAACTTTCATTCTAAGATACTCCATAACAATAACTATCGGAAAATTATTTATTTGACGATAAATGATTAGTGGGTAGATACCTACTTCGTAGATAATCAATCATCGTTTTGAACGAGCAACACCTTACCAATTAATAATCTTAAAATGTCTATCAAAAAAAATAAAAAAAATTAATAATCTTAAAAAAATCGTCAATAAAATCTATGTGGGCCGGCCCTTTGATGAATGTTGACACATCAATTAGATGAATTAAATAACTTATTAGTATTAAGCTGTCAGCTGGATCCCCCCATAATAATCAATTTTAAAACTCCGTAAATTTTTCTAGTCTAGTCAAATTGAAAGATCGTGCAAAAGGCACACGGAGTATTTTAGTTTTGTGGCGTTTGCATTTAAAACCCTTTTTAAAGGTGTGTCTTATTCAGTTAATTGAGGATCAAGGGATAAAAGGATGGTTAGTTCCTTTATTTTTCTCAGATGTGACCAGTCAATTAGGGTTTGATCCTCACCTCATCCAACCTATGAGTTGATTTTATTTATCCTGTAAATAAGCAAGAATTTCATGTATTATAAATTAACCTTCCTAATTATTGCATTCCCAAACCTGCCACCTAGAAATGGATTATATATATATTTAGTAGAAATGGAACCTCGAATGTACTTACTTGAATTTATCTGAAATTGTTAGACCTTATTACAGTATTAAAATCGCTGAAATTGAGAGAGAAGCTCTAACCACTTGAGTTATCCCTGCACCTAAAGGTCTCCCTCGTGCATTTATAATTTTTTGTTGTACTCATATGTATTTATGATCTAACTTGCGGTTATAAAGTGTCTCTCTTTTGTTATAAAAACAAACCAGTAAACCACTAATAATTATGCTTATTTAGTTGTAGGGGTCTATATATCAATCTATCATTGATTAAATGCAAATCGCTATTTATTTAGTTAGTTCGAAATTATTTCTTGATTGTGACTTTGTGAGAGTACATTTATTTATTTCAAACATGTACTTAACTAATTTTGATTTCTGTAATACTGATCTGATGTTCTACGCAAGTCTATTCAATCAAAAAAATATATATATAAAATGTGACATATCGATCTTCGGTCCAATTTTTTTGCCTACGTAAAGTACTCGGTGCATTCCCATATCCATACGTAACTAAAAGCAAACACCTTTGTTAGTACTGTCAAAATGGTTTGATAGTTCGGTTTCGGTTCGGTTTGAAATCAGATCGGTTTGAAATCGGTTCAAATGTCTTACGGGTCGATTTCAGTTAGGTTTAAATAATTATCGGTTCGATTCGGTTTCGGTTTATTCGAACCACGGTTTAAATTCGGTCCGGGTTGTAAACGGTTCGGGTAGTAAACGGTTCGGTGCAGACGGGCTGCGGTTTGTTAACGGTTCGGTATAAACGGTTTTTATCCTGGTTTAAATTCGGTTCGGGTTGTAAACGGTCGGGTAGTAAACGGTTCGGTACAGACAGGTTGCGGTTTGTTAACGGTTCGGTATAAACGGTTTTTATCCCAGTTCAAACAGTTTCGGGTTAGAAACGGTTCGGTTCTTTTTTGGTTCCATTTTATTTTAGTTCGGTTTATAACTGGTTCGGTTCGTTAACGGGTTCGGTTCTTAATTAGTCAACAAGACGGTTAATCAAGACTCGTTTATCATTATATATTTGCATAAAGTTATATATGAAGATATTACAAAGTAGTTTGATTTGTATAATGAAAGAAAACATTAATGAATAAGAAGGTAATATTGATTCTTTCAATCGATTATACATATACATAACATCTAACCATCTCATATTCTCATAGTTAAATATTTATTAGTATAAAGGGATGAGAATCATAAGATTATTATATTTTTGTATATCCTTTATTGGTTTACCCCTGAGGCTTAAGTCATTAATTAGTAATTAGTAATTACTTAATTAGACTAACAAGTTAATAAGAAAGAGTAACTTTTAACTTGAGTCTAATAGATCAAATATTGAAATGCTATTAGTATATTACCGAGTAGGATGGTCTAGTACACTGTTAATTAATCTGTTATGCAACTATGCTAAATTGACAATTGCTCATATAGTCATATTAGTCAATCACTCATGTAGTCATATCTAATTAAGTAATTTGTATTTATGTACTAATCTACTAGTCAATTCTATCATTTATAAGTTTACACGATTACAAGTGTATTGCTTACAGACATAGCTAAACTGATATAAATATAATCATATAACAAATCCGTAGTACTTCTAACTCTCTAATATATGACGTCATTATATTATTATACGGTATTCGATTTTTTATTAATCGCGACGCTAGACATTTACAGGCTAACCGATTCACATTTTATAATTTAAATAACTTAATAAGTTAATGTGTGTGTTAAAAAAATATAAAAGCTTTTATTATGAAGGTATATATCGTTTTATCAGGGTTCGAGAAATGTAATTAATTTATAAGTGGTTTGTAAACGGTTCGATTCATAAGTGGTTCGGTTCATAAACGGTTCGGTGCAAACGGGTTGCGGTTTGTAAACGGTTCAGTGTAAACGGTTTTTATGTCAGTTCAAACGGTTTCGGGTTAGAAACGGTTCGGTTCATTTTCGGTTCGGTTTCCTTTCAGTTCGATTTAGATTTGGTTCGGTTCTTAAACGGTTTAACGTTTACTCGGATCGATTCGGTTTCGGTTTTACTAACATGCGGTTCGGGTCGGTTTTCGGTTTCATAAAATCGATTTTTAATCGGTTCGGTTCTCATTCGGATTGGTTGAAACAGTTCGGTTTCACCGGTTCGGTTCGGTTTTTCACAGTGCTAACCTTTGTTGTTATTATTAAGAGTCAAACACACAAAAAACAAGGAAGTTAGATCGACGAATCCTCTTGCAAGAAACATTTTGTACTAGTTCATGGAGCAACCCTTGGAGCATGTGTTGGTTCAAGGTTAAGCCCCTACTTGAGGCCGCTGGTCATTGCGTTACTCCGCTTGGCATGGCGGCCTCGGGGATTAACCCTAAAAAGATCCATGAAGTCCAAGGTATTCACGATTATACCGAGCCATTGATAGAGTTGTTGACATCTCTTCCTGAGGATCAAAAGTGATGGATATTATAGTTATGATAATATTTGTCGCAGATTAGGATAATAATTGTATATATTTTGTATCCTTATCGTACTAGGTTTACAATATTTGTAAAACTCTATATATATTGATCAATGGTACACATTCCACATTGAGGAGTTTTCCTGAAATCTTACATGGTATCAGAGCTTAGGTTTTAGATCCCAATTTTTTATTTTTCCAATTTTTAGATTGAGGAGTTATTCTTGTTGGGCATAGTCTTGGTGGGATAAACATGGCTTTGGCTATGGAAATGTTACCTCACAAGATTGAAATTGCTGTTTTTCTCTTGGCTTTTATGCCTGACTATGTCAACACTCCTTCTTTCATTTTTGATCAGGTAATTTTCCATCCTTTTAATTGCGTGACAATTCAATCAAAATGTATACTAAATTCTATTTGAATTTAATTATTTATTTGTTCGTTACTCTCTACGTCCTATATATATATATATGCTCGTTTTCATTTTTTCACGGAAATTATAGGTAAGGGAGGGTGTGTAATATTCTTAAAAATTACGAAGTATATGTTTTTTATATGAAAAAGGTTAAAAATAAATAAATAAATATAGAAAAACTTGTATAAAGGTCAAAATAAAAGAAAAAGTAAGCTTCAAAAAAAATAATAATAAATAAATAAATAAAAGAAAAAGGTAAATAATAAGATGATGAAAATATATATGGGTAAAATGAAAAAGTAAATAATAAGATGATGATCTAGGGAAATGTTAGGGATTTTATATGAGAAAAAGGTACACTATGATGAAATAATGTAAAACAAAATTACTAAAATTAAAAATAAACATGATATTTTGAGACACCTAAAATAAAATATAGATATTATATCTGATGATGGAAAAAAAAAATTAACAATAAAAACAAAGAAAGTATTATGGTCACAACTACTTTTGAATTGGAGTAGTTAAGTTTTTTATTGCCTTGGTTTGGATTTAATGAAAATACAGGTATTGATGATAAGTTTTTGGTCCATAGTTAAAAATAATTTGTCCTTTTGACAAGTCCAATCATAAACATTCGAGAGAATTCCCTCAATTATCATGTGAGTTTGTTCAATTCTCTGTTTTTTTTTTTTAAAAGAAAAACGTACACAATTGCTAATAATAATCTTTTTATCTCAGAGAATAACCAAAAGCATGTACTTAGTAATTTCCCTATTGCAGGAAAGGAACCAAATAAAAACTGGAAGGTTTTAATTAGTTGGAGGCTTTTAGATTTCTTGCTCATTTGCTTCTTTTGAGCTAACCGAATTGAAATTGATAAAACGAACTCTAAAAGCTCATGATAGGGCCCTTAGGAATGAGGTTCTAACGTTTTTTTTAGCAAACAATACACCATTACACTTTACTTTTACCACAATAATAATAAAAACTAAAAGAAGCATTTGAACTTTTGAAGAGAGACTCATATTGTATTGGCAATTTGGCATAGAATTTATTGTTATTACAAAATGTTTCTAAAAAAATTCACCATATACCTAAACTGTAAAATTACATATTTTTACATTCTCTATTAAAGACACATGAACATATATAGAAGAACATGGATAGACAATTATAAAAAATATATCGTTAACACTAGCATGTATAGTTTGTAGTGGCCTTCATAATATCAATTTTTTTTTTTTTTTTTTTTTTTTTTTTTTTTTTTTTTTTGTGGGACTATATAAGTGACAAAATAGTTTCAGATTACTCGTATTGCCTTATTGCAAAAAGGTTATCAAAACAAATTTTACTTTGATTGTGACTATAATAGCTACTCGTAGTTACAATTTGACTAATGGAGAACTAACTTATGTTTTATTATGGTATTGTGAAGTTTGTTGCACATTTTCCTGATGAAAATTTTTGGTTGGACACGGAATTCAAGAACACTGGTGATCCAAAGGAGATCCTCACGACAATGTTATTTGGTCCACAATTCATCGCAAAGCTCTCTCACTTGCCCTCCCTTGAGGTAATCCTAACTCAAAACCTAAATTGTGACCTTTTTTCCTAAAATTTTGTATGTAGCGGCATTACTAATGCACTTGATTTGATCTGGTGGACTATTATAAGGACTACGAGCTTACTTTGTTGTTGAAAAGGCCATCGTCATTGTTCCTTCATGATGCATGGAAGCCCGAGGCGAAGCTTTCAAAAGAAAGGTATGGATCAGTAAGGATTGCTTATGTAATATAATGCCATTTTACATTACAATAATAAATTGACAAGTCGGTAATGAAAACAAAATTTTCCAAAAAAAGACAAATAAAACAACCTAGGTACCGTAGAAAGTAGTGCGACTAGTGCTTATAAGACCATCATTACTCATGGTATAAAATTATACCTTCCCTCTCCCTCCACATCATCTATGCCACAATACAATATAATTTCTTCAAAAATCATCCAATAAGATGAAATACTACGAGTATTTTTTTCAAAAAAAAAAAAAAAAAAAAAAAAAACTATCTACGTCTCAGATTACTATAAAGTTGTCCAGTATTACTTAGGGAGTACTTCATTTGTAGAAACTACTTTCTATAATGACGCATTTCTCAATACTACTCCGTAGTTTCTATTAAGTCAATTAACATGCTTTTCCAGTCTGCTACAAAAACACAAACCACTCTCCAGCCGAAGAAACCTTTTTATCGACGTTCGTGGCCTCGTGGGAGCAAGACATAATCTCACAGATCTATACAAAACCCTGAGCAACTGATCTAAGACCACCACCCAAAAAAACAAAAAAAAATTTACAACCAAACAAAACCTAACTATGAACATCATGACTAATTACAACATTACAGAAAATACATATCAGCATATATCTAAATGAAGACCCTGAAACCTTGAGACAAAAAATGACCTGCAAGTCTGCCACGCCATGTTCACAGAATTACAGGCAAGTGCAAGTTTCCTACCAGCAATTAAGATGCAACTATTATGCTACAGACATTTGAAGTACCATTTTTTTGTGATTTTTCTCAAGAGGGCCCATAGGATCTGTGCAGAGTCCATGGCTGCAATAGCTAGCTAGCATAAAGGAGTAGAGGCTTTTCATGTGGCCTTTAAACAGCCACCACTGGCCACTAAAAGAGCAGAATATAGCTATGTAATTTCAAGTACTGACATATAAAACATTAGAAAATCATAAACACGTCGAAAATTGAAGAATGCTGATATTTTATTCCTTTTTTTTTTTTTTTTTTAACTAACGGTGATAAAGTTCAAGACAAATGGCATCGAACATAACTAGATTCAAAAGTGTTCTAATTCATGGCTGCAAAAGTATTGCACCTTCAGAAGAAAAATGGAGGCCATAAAACAGGGAAGACAATTTATTCTAGTTCAAGGCATGGGTTATGGTGCTAATACAAGCTCAAAGCCATGCTAAACAAAGCAGAAAATTGGGTAACAGCACCTAAAATGGGCCACACAGTCTCTGGCGGCAGCATGACGCAAATGAAAGAGGCTCACACCTTCACGATATCAAGAGTATAATAACTTGATTAATAAGCCTTTGGTATCCGTGGCATGGTTGCCCAATGGTAAGAAGGTGGTTCTGGTTAGGCACAGCAAAGGAGGAATGGATGCTGCGGTGCTACCGTTGCCATGGCAAAAGCCCCGCAAAAGTATTCAGTTGGAGTTTTACTTGCTGCCTTAGGAGAAGGATTTAAAATAGTGCATCTTAGTGGATACAGAAATAATAATTAAAATACAAGAAATATGATAGAACTAAGGATTTCTTGGTTCTTGCTTACATACTTCAATATTGCTGAGTCGGATCCTAAAGAATTCTGGTTTGACACACAATTCTAGACATACCGACATACAACTCCCCAGATGAGTCCTTGGCATCAGTGCAGGTTGGGGTTCAATTTATGCACACCCTTCATTTCCTGATTCCATCAGCACCAAATCCTACATCAAAACCAATTGCAAATTAGAACCCTGTATAAGGTAATACCATGATGAATTTGATGAGAACGGTAACAAACTTGATCCTAATTCTACAGCATAACACCGCATTAGATTTTTTTTAAGAATTGGAATATGACAAATATTTTAAAAAGTTACAACGAAATACCATTCAACTTAAAGGACTACTTAACAAATCATATCTTACTTCTTCATAGGAACTCTAAATACTTCAGTAATGCAGAAATTCTGGCTACATGAAAACTAAGAACAGCACTAAGTTACTAAATTTAACATCTGTGGAATTTACCACAACAGACTCCTGAGAATAGCTAACATGCACTCTTTTGCATGTTCATTCCAAAATCAAAGACCCTGCCGGAACCCCACTTTCCAAACCGGAATAATTTGAACTTAAACAAATGACTTGATTCTGGATTTGAAACAGTTGTCCACCTCTTGTAAATAGATGTTAACATACAACTCGACTAGCACTATTTATTAACAACGGGTTAATACGGGTTAAGAAATATTGCAAATTATTCTAGATGAAGACATTACATCACTTCATAAGGGTTGATTGTCAATATAATGCCAACATCAATAAATTATAAACATGATAAGCATACATAAGTCACCATCTAGTTGAATCTACAGTATAACATCAAGAATTTTCTACAGTTGCAAGGTGATAAGTCCTATAAAATACACATTTTAAAATGTCAATACTATTGATCAACATTTATATGAGGACATGCTTGCAGCAAAAGTTTCTCCTCCCATCCCAAAACATGATGGAAATAGAGAGTAAATGACTTAAGTTTCGAGAGACCCTACCTTTGTCACAATCAGCATGGTGCCAACTGTAATAAACAATGTCAATAAATATGACTTTGACAGGATGCTAAAAGAAAAATATCTATATAATGCATCTATTCCACTCACAGAAACTAGCATACCATTATTGCCACAGCACGCTCCGAGAAGTTGAAATTTGAATACAGTCCTCCCACCTTCCGAAGCTTGAAAGGTCTAATTGCTTAAGCATGAATATACTTTTGTGCCATCACCTTTCATGCATGCGTTACAACGGATAGCAATCTTGAGCCAAACAGTAAGCGCTACGAAAGAGAAGGCATGACAGCCTATTCCTCAAATATAAACTTATCCACCCTTCCAAGAACATCAAATTCTGCATGCAGCTTGACCATTTACAAATGAAGAAAGGGGTTGCACATCAAACAAACAAGATGCCTTTCATCCACTCAGCCTTAATAGTCGTAAAGTCTAAACAAGTCGATCACAGAGCTCCTCGAACCTAGTTAGCCTGCAAGTTAATAAATGTTACTTTATCTACTAAACTAGTTAACCTGAATTTAACAAGATCTGGCCAGAGGTTATGTGGCACAGAAATTTTCATGATAGTCACATTTCCAGTTTGCAAAACCCAAGGGAACTCAAGATATAGCATTTTCTTTGAAAGACCAGCAAGTTTCCCCCTTTAGGACCTTTAGAGTTACAAATTGATTATTCTTTATCATAAATGTTTTAGTGAACTAAACTAAACTGTAAAGCCTCCCTTTTACATCATATTAAAAAGGGGACAAAGAGGAGCAATTTTAGAGCTCCAGCAAGAGTATAGTGGAATTGTGCCAGCACTAAGCAAACATACCGTCTCATTAGAACTTCTGGATTATATGGAAACAACTTCCTCCTATGAAGCTTTCTCAGGGCGCTTTTAAGAGAAAGCAAGCATCCTTTAGCATCCTCAAATTGTAGGCTTTCAATCCTCCCCAGATTGCACTCTAACTGGTTTAGCTCAAAGGCAAGCCCACTTTCCAATGGAGTATCTATCTGCCCAACAGAAGAGTCATCAGGAGATGCCCTTCGTTTCTTGCAGCCCCTTCGACAAATACTTTGGTATACAAGACCTTCTCTAACTGAATACTTCAAAAACAATTCCCACGAATCACATACAATACGCAAGCACCTGAAATAAAATACTCAATTCAAAAAGTAAGATATCAACTAATATCAGTTTTTACTCAAACTAATATCAGTTTTTACTCAAGCATGCGCCTGGTGAATTCCTACTTGTCACTCAGATATATCTCCAAGCTTACATCCATATACATACATTAACAAATAGCAACCAATGAAACATGAAATCAGGCTACAACTTGAACATACTCAATCTCGAATCACAAATAAATATAGTCATGATAAGTAGGTGGTACTCAAGAGTAGAAAAGACATCAGCTAGCAGAACACTTGCCTTAAAAGATATTCAGCACATTTTCCACCCATATCTTTCGAAATAAGATAATCAAGAAGCAGTTGATGATCATATTGCAGCTGCAATTAACAAAAAAAAAATCTTATGTTCATAACTCTTGACATTAATGCTGCAAGAAAAATTAACAAAACTTTCTATCAAGATAAAAAAAACCCATATCTGAACAATACATGACATAATGAGCAAAATGTTCTACTGATATTTCACGATTTGTTTAGTATATACTCACTTCTGCAAGGAATACATGAAACAGAAGCAAAGGATTAAAAAGGTTTGAGACGTGAAAAAGAATGTCCTCCTCAGTGACATGACAAGCCCTCCCCTCATTGGAAAACCTGATACAAATCAAGAAGGCTTATACAACTAGTTCTGAAAACATTGTAAAAATCGGCTTGCTAACTAGAACCAACATAGTGATAAACTGAAATGTAATTAAACTTACAGTCTCTCAGCCCATGAAGGTATAGTAAACATCTGCAAGAGTACTTCAAATAACATATCATCCTATGGTACACGAGAGAACAAATTATAACTGGCATAAGATTACAGCATTAGAAACCCTCTTCCCTAGGCTCTAAGGCAAAGAAATTGGGGCAATGGGGGCATAAAAGAACAAGCAAGTGTAACGTGTATTCTTGACGACACATTGCTAACTCTATCAAGTTGGTGTGAATAAGAATCTCTATTACTCACATACAAAGGCTCCAAAATTCCTTGTATGATAGCAGATGGAGTGATGGACTTTGACACAAACTATTATTTAGGAAATGCTACAAAGAAAGCCAGAAAAAATACATCGCAGATGAAAAGATAGTAGTTATACTAAACACGTAAAACCAACCATGAGTCAAGACTCCATAAGCACTTAATTTGACTTGAGAAGACACCTTAAAAGAAGAACAAACCTCTTGCATGTAAAATTTGATGAAGGATGAAGCGAATTTGATGCACTTATCCAATTTTATCTCATTTTCGGTCACGATAG